CTGCTGGGCTATGGAGTCTAAAGGGATCGGAAGGGAAGGAAAAGGAAAAGGATAATAGGTTCTACTTCTAAAATTTCAGCGTAAAATTTAAAAACACGATTAACATATTTTCTAGGTCAAAGGAATCTAACACAGCACCCTCTCTGTGTGAAACGTCCCTCCTCCCACATACTCATTTCCCTACATGTTGAAGACACAAGTACAGAAAAACATGCCTCAAACTTCACACCCACCTGCTGCTCTGAGCAATCGGTGTTGCTCATGGTGCCTGTTCTAAGTGTACCGATTAAAGAAAGAATACAGAGTTCTCAGTCTCTCTGAGGATCAGTCTCTCTCGTCCAGCTGCTTTGAAATCTGTGATTCTTTAGGGCAGAACGGGGACGCAAGCAGCAGAACGTTCAGACACTCTGGAAGTTCTGATACAGAGCTGCCTTTCTGAGGTCATAGACTCTGGTATCTCAGAGAGTTCCCTGGCAGAAACGGGGAGAAGGGAAAGAGAATGAAGAGGTAGCCTGGCCTTCTGCTGGAAGTCTTCCTCTAGTCCTCACTCCTCCTTGCAGTATTTCTTCTTCTTTTCCTCTCAGTAGGTTTCTTGGAACTTCCCAGAACACACTGAAGTCTCTGCAAAGGGCAAAATCGAAGCACAGTTACATATTAATATGAAGAAGAGGATTTGCTGTCCTAAATAACACCCAGGGAGTCTAGATTCCTCTCCCTCTTCCCTCATCAGTTCTAAGAGTAATGGAGCTTGTACCCAGGCCCAGTGGCAGGTAACCAGGTTTTAGCGTCTGTTGCTAAGAGGAGGAGCCTCTTCTGTGCTTAAACACAAGACTGGGCTTGACCTGCTGGCTCCCTTTGTAGGAGGCTGGGCTGAGCAGCCAGAACTATTAGTGACAGAAGGGAGTTAGGGGTGCTTTGTAAGGGCCCAGGAATGTAGCAATAAGAGACCATGACCTAGGAGAGGTCTAAGGGTACCCAGGCTGGAACCGAGTCCTTGAGGTCTAGAGTTGGAACGGTCTAACCCAGACCCTGCACTTCTCATTAGATGATGTGAAAGCTGTGCAAATTCCTTTATCTCTTCAGGTGAATGTGTCAGCTTTCATAAATCCCACGTCCTTTTAGGAGGAGGTAATAGTGTGAGCGCCCATCCCACCAGGTTTGTGTGATGGTTTAGTAAGATAATATATCTAAAACTGTTTGCACACCCTAAATGTATCTGAATTTGCCTAGGACTTTTACACACACACACACACACACACACACACACACACACACACACACAGATTTTGAGGCAGGGTCTGAAGATAAATTTGAACTTCTGATCAGTTGCTTCCACCTCCTCAGTGTTGAGATTACAAGAGTGGACCACCAGGCTCAGTCTATGCAATACTGGAGACCAGCCCAGTGCATGATGGGTAAACATTCTACCAGCCAAGCCATGTCCCTAGCCCTTCTCCACTTGTGCTACTATAGCCTTGCATCTTGAGAATGTTCTCTGTCCTGGTCAGGTTGGGACAATTCTGTCACTCAATGCAAAAGGCTCTTTATGAATGTTGTGGCTAGCACAGAATAGTCCCGGGCACACAAGCACATACACTCTTACATACACCTACCCAAGATTCACCACTGCACCAGCATCCAAAGCGCTTAGTACATGGCTGCTTTCAAAATTCTCTTAAAGCCAAGTTAGACTTGTTGAACTCCTTCAGGATGCTGTGGTGCATGTCTGTCTCTCCATCTAGTTTCCCCTTAATTCCATGCATGAGGAAAGCAAAACAGAGACGCATAGTTTTCCGACCTTGCCTTTTCTTTATCAGAGTGGATACAACAGGAAACTTTTTTTTTTTAACTGTTCTTTCCACAGAGAAACTGCCCAGGGCATAAATGTTTTCAGCCCCTTTACAAAGTGCCAAGAAATTCACCGTGACCTTCCTCATTCCTTACACTAATATTTCTTACCATAAAGTATATAGAGGATCCAGGATGTGGCTGACGTGTGTAGAGCACTTGCCTAGCACGTACAAGGTCTGGCTCTGCTGCTCGGCACACACATAAAGTGTACAGGGTCTGCCCTTTGCATCAGTGAGTCTCAAAGACTCACATCCATGTGTGTGAAGAGTAGAGAGAGACAAACATGGTGCTAATGAGCCCATGGGATCCTGGGTAAGGAGACAGGCTCTTGTCTGAAATGTAATGTGCTTTAAAAACTAGCTGTTGCTCAAAGACATTAAAACAGGAAGACCTTCTGTTCACTGATAGATGTGATCTGCTGGTGTTCATGTTCACCACATAAGAGGAGAAGTCAGCTGGATTTAGGCCAGGTTCCAGCTCTGATTATTAACAGTTAAGGTGAATGTATTGTTGAAGACCCCTCCCCCCATTTCTTATTCTTCATAGGCAAGTGCTCAGGATAGATCTCAGAGGGGTGAAACAATTGCTTAACTAGAACAAGTATGTTAGACCCATTGGGGCTAGTGTAACAAAGTACCATAGGCTGAATGGCTTACTTAAAAACAACAACAACAACAACAAGAAATATTTCTTATAGTTCAAAAGACTGGAAGTTTGAAGTCTGGGTGCCAGCATGGTGAAATTACAGCGGGGAGCTTCTACTGCCAGCTTTTTATTGTGCTCTTTCCTAGTACCCTAGTAGAAAGAGGTAAGAAAGCTCTCTCTCTTCTCCTCTCCTCTTTTCTCCTCTTCTCCTCTTCTCCCCCTCATAAGGCATTGATCTTATTCATAAGGGCTTCATCTCCTTGACTAATGATCTCCCAAAGGCCCCCACTCTACCACCAAATACCATCACATCAGGGGATGAAGGGATAAAAATATTCAGTCCACTGCTGTAAGAAGCTGTGGAAAGGCCTAGGAAATGCTTCACATAGGTTTATTTTATCAGTCCTTTGTTCCTCGAGAGCCAAGTTCTTGATGCTACAGAGATGCTAGACCCCCCCAGATGAGAAATAGAAGCAGAGGCAGTGACACTCCAGAAGTACAACCTACTGATCACTAAGGAAGACGCGCTTGGGGAAGGAGGATTAGAGGATTCAAAGAGCTGCCCCTAGATGGCGCCCTTAAGCTGAAAATTTCCAAAGAGAAACCTCAATTTTCCAAAGTAAGGTTCCTGCTGATGGTCTAAGGAAAACAAACCCATCCCTACCCCAGATAAGGCATCTGTCATACTGCAGCTACAGAACGTGTGTAAAGCCAGACAAGAATGCCTGAAACTAAAACCTTCAGGGACACACCCTTGTCTGCCCATGATCCCCTGTGTGCTTCATTTCTACTTTCTGCTGTCAGTGGAGTTGAAGTGAAATCCCTTAAACTTCTTACCACTCCCGTCAGTCATCTCCAAGCTCATTTCTTTATCTACCAGCTTAATTATTTCTTGGAACATAAAGTGGCTGAAGTAACATCAATTTCCCCCCCGTGATAGGGATTGGACACACAGCTCAAGGGTATGCCAGAAAAACACCCTACCACTATTCCCCAACCTCGTGAAATGTATCTGCGAAGCATCTATTTATTTATTTATTTATTTATTTATTTACTTACTTACTTACTTACTTACTGTGTATGTGTGTTTTGTCCGCAAGTATGTTTTTCACCACATGTGTGCAGTGCCCACTGAGACCAGAAGAGGGCGCCAGATTCCCTGGAACTGGAGTTACAGATACAGTTATGACCTGCTTTGTAAATACTGAGAATGGAACCTGGGTCCTCTCACAGAGCAAGTAGGGCTCTTACCCACTGAGCTACCGTCCTACCCTTTCCTCTCCTCCCATGTAATATTTTTCAGTCCCTATTACATGCTTGATAGGTACTTAGTTCTTTTAAAGCATCTTTTCTGTTGTCCTCAGTAAAACTCCGTGGTTTCTCTTTTTACTGAAAGAGTTACTCTCCAGGATGCTACCGGTACAGTGCTACCAGTATAGGGCACATGGGGAGAGGTGGGTCACTCTAGGTCTTTGGGTGAAAAGAACCTGAGACCTGTTTAGTAGCAGACAAGTGTCTGGGCTTGCCCTTCTTCCCATTTAATGGGTGAAGAAGATGTGGCTCAAAGAGGTAATTTGAGCAACATTGAACAGTCACAGCCAGACTTGGGCCCTGAGATGGGGACTCCAGAGCCCCACCCCACTTACAGCAGAACACAGTTTTCTGCTTAAGTTCCTGAATACCTGATGATTGCGTCCCATCCCCAACCTCTTGGAAGCATTTTAAGTTATCACTTATTTACTTTTATTTCGTGGGTAGAGCCCAGGAATGCGCCCAAGCAGCCCACAGTGCTCACAGAACATCACAGAAACAGACTTGTCCCATCTCAAATCCCAGTAGTATTGACACTGAGTAACTAATAGGGCGCCTCAGACCTAGATTTGGAATCAGGAAACATGGTTTTCTCTACCACGGGTCCTTGAGAAGAGGATTTGAGTTTATTTGTGAACCTAATGCTTCTAGCTCTTAGTTTGTTTTTGTTTTTAAATCTGTAAAATGGAAATAATCCATCTCTAAGATTCTCTGGCTGCCAACATTTGCCCTTGCGTAATGGCTTGAACCTTCCAGTACAGGGGGTACCAAACTGACTAATGTGACTTGAGCTCTGGGGACGAATCCAGAACTAGTTCTGTCTCTAAAACTCCACCTTTGGTTGCCAAACCTCCTAAGATGTGGCCCCAGAACTTTCACTCTAAGCCACGCTGTAGGAAGAGGCTGTCTCCAAGCACTCATTCACTCGTTAGTCATCCTCTAGAGTCTAGAAGTGTGTGGGGGTTGTTCCTAGAGTGTGTAGGAAGAAGCGGGGCCGGCCTGGCAAAGGTGGCAGCCGCGCGGCTTTACGTCAGGATACACGATCCTTCCTGGTCCGGCTGGGAAGACAGGGCGGGGACCTGAGCCTGGGCGGAGGGTCCGCGTTGGTTCTCCGCAAAGAGACCAGAGGCGGGGCCTCTGCGAGGGGCGTGGCACCAGGGCGGGGCTTCGGCCTTGGTAGAGGAAGAGCACTTGCTGGTGAGGAGGGGCAAGTCCAACTCTCACCCCAATCACGCCTGTGTCCCTTCTCCCTTCCACTTCGCTTTGCGCCCTCTGTGGCTGCGGGGCGGGGTACCGCGTCAGCCAGCACCAGGTGAGAGAGCAAAGCAGGGGTGTGGAGTAGAGGACCCTGGCTGACTGACCCCTCCAAGCTCGGCCTAGGGAGCGGAGGAGTTCAGGGGCGGTCGCGGGAGAATGCACTAGCTTCCTTCGCCTGTTGCCATCGGCCTCTGGGTTGGTGATGAACTTTGTCTGTCGCCTTGAGTTGCTGAGCGCGGGTAGGAACTCACGGGGAGATCTCATCCACCATTTCTAGCCATCCCCGTGTTTATACACTGGCAGCTAGATTGGGGGCGGGGAGTGGGGGAAGGAGCCACTAGTGCTAACCCACGCGCGAAGCCCTACCTCCTCTTGGGAAACGTGCACGGGAAGATGTGGAGTCTTGTCTCGGCATCTGCATCTTCTTCCTAGGATTGGTCAACAGGGGTGCCATGCGTCACAGCAGGAGGGAGCTACAGGTTGTCAAAGATGGGTTTGCCCCAGGTGACAAGATGCCCAATTCTCCTGAGATCCGATCTCCTAGTTTCTGTGCCCGGTAGTCTTGGTCAGATTTCCCATCTGCATCACACCAGTGGGTTTCCTCCATGGATCCCTGGACTTAGAATTGAAAGTCTCAACCCTCATCGGAAATGGGGACCAGGATAGATTCCCAGGCGCTCCGAAGGCCCTGCCCCCATCTGGGGATTCGACCCGACCCGCAGCTGGAACGTTCGCAGTGGCGGTTTGCTTGCAAGATGCAAGAGTCAGGAGCCAAAGCTGTATTTGGAACCTTAGAAGGGGCGAGGTAGGATCTCAGAGAACCTGGCTAGGCCCCCTAAAATGGAGAGTAGGTGGGGCACCCCTAGGCTGGTTGTGGTGGTGCCTTCCCTCTCAGCAAAGGACCCTAGAAGGAGTAGATAGAAAATTGGTGGCTAGATAGATGCATGTGCTGACCGCGGCCCTCCCCTGGATTCTTCCTACCCTTCTTTCAGCAGACTCCCCAGACCGGTTCGGTGGCATTTGCATGTTTCCCAGGCCAAAGACGAGTTGTAAGGGCGTAGCCTGACTTGTAGCCTGATGTAGAAAAGAGATAGGCAAACTGAAGCCTGGGGCCATCCTAAATTGAACATTAATGCCAGCTGTTGCTTTAACAACATAAGTCGTGGTGTAGGCATTGGCTCTTCCCTGATCAAGGGGAGAGAATCTGTAGCTGGTGTGCTAGAGGTGTGCATACTAGACTCTGTAGTGTAGACACAGGTGAGGTGTGTTTCCTCGTTATAAGACACAATAGGCAAGTGGTATATCCAGTTATGGGGCACTGTGAAGGACTCTAGTGAGCACAGGCCTATAAGACCAGGAGGTTAGCTGCAAGGAGATCCAATTCTTTCCATCCCAGATACATTTTATGTGTCCTAGGAGACATAAAGTAATATATCAATAAGAATATTTTTATTTGAAAACTCAACCAGGGTTAAAGGCATATCTAATCTGACACACTGTCATAATGAAAAATGCATACTCGATGTGAGAAAGAGACTATCTTGTAAATTCCAGGCTGTTGTTGAGCCACAGAAAATAATTGTGCCAAGGCCTTGGGGACAGGTCTTGTTAGTGAAGACCTCACCACACATAGAGTGTGGCACTATACAAGGTTCTTGGGAGCCAAAGAAAGAAGAGAAAGCACACCAAGTCCCTGTCGTAGGAGCAAAGAAAGCCTAGAGTGGTCGGGTGTGTGTGTGGGGGGGTGAGATTTGAATAGTAAGTGGATTTAGCTTTTTCCTGCTATCTTGCTGGTCAGTTTATATTATAAACAGGAATATGATATACATCTTTTGGGTATATTTTCATATATCCATTTATCTTATTTAGGTTTGTGAAAAATAAATTGTTGGATTAAAGCGTGTGCAGCTTAAATTTTTGATAAATATTGTCAAATTATGTCTATCTGCATGCCTGCTGTTAATATATTGGGGATGGTCTTAGCTCCTTGGAGATTGCTAATAATTCAAGAATTTTTTTGTTTCCTTCAGTGATAACAAGAGACAGGATGGCATGAGCGACTGGGCTACATGCTACAGTAATGCACTTCCTGGTAGAGGGTTTCCTCTAGAGTGAGACTGAGAGACATTTCAAGATGGCCAAAGAAGAGACCCCAAGTGTTTCCAGAGACTTACAGGAGCTGCAAAGGAGGCTGGGTTTGCTGTTAGAGTCTTTCCAGAACAACTCAAAGGTCAGTGCCCAATACCATATACAATGGGAAACCTGAATAACACTGATCCGAAGAAGACTGGACATTGTTTCTTTCTCAGATAGGAATCTACGAGTCAGGAATCTTTCTGCTAGCACCCTGCTATATCTGAGTCGTCACCTTCATGTTCATTGCGGCTGCTGAAGCGTCAGCCGTCATAGTGACATTCAGGGCCATAGGACAGCAGGCGAGTGGGAAGGAAGGTTATTTTCAAGGCACTTCCAAATTAAGGAAGATTCCTGGAAGTCACAGAGAATCACAGACCACTAGTTACAGCCCATATAATGCAGAATTTGGTTGGATAATGACCTCTCGTGGTAACTGCCATTCTTTGGCTGGATCTAAAGAAGCCATTAGTCTATGCAGCAGACACTACTCTTTTCTTTGAAATGTTGGAGTCATCTGTTCCCCTAAGGAAAGAAGCCAGCTAATGCCTAGTTTAAGATCTGAGTTCTGTGTTCCACTAGAAGTCCATCATCCAGCAGAGATGATACCTGAGCCATGTGTGCACTAACATTTTCTGGTACCCAAGCCTAACTATAAAGAATCAATGGGTTCATTTCAAGAATACATCTTAGTTAATATATCAAAAATAATATCATTTCAGCATGTCATCATTATAAAAATTAATGGAAAAGAAAATAGTTCACATTCTTTTTTGTACTAACTCTGAAATCTCGACTGTTATCTACCTTCACAGGATTATTGTGATGCAAACTAGCCATGTTTTTGGTGTTCAGTCACCAATCAATGTGGTGGGATTTTAGATACTCTTATTTCTTTGTGTATGTATCTTTATTGCTTTCTGTATGCCTTTCAGCATTTAAACAGAATGCCAGGGCTGGGAAGATGGTTCAACTGGTGTAGTCTTCTCTGGCCATCATGAGACCACAAGTTTGAATTCTCAGCAACCTCACAAAGATGGGCATAAGAGCACATCTCTATAATCCCAGTGTTCCTATGGCAAAATGGGAGGTGGAGATAGCAGAATCCTGGGAAGCCTGTGGCTAGCTATCCTGTCTTATTTAGTGCCAAAACAACAACAACTCATGGAGACCTTGTTTCAGAGAACCAGGCAGAAGGTGAGGGCCAACACCTGAGGTTGTCCTCTGACCTCCACATGTGTGACATTGCATACATGTGCTCACATATGTGAAAGCACACGCATGCACTTACACTGTATATGCATATCCCCAAAAAGATTGGTAGAAAGTAAACAGTACTAGCCAGCTAGTACTATTACCATTTTGTTGTGTAGCTTCTAGATTTCTATGCCATGTGCACATAAAAGTATGTATTCATCTAAAGCGGTGGGAACTGTTTTGTGATTTTCTTTCCCTATTGGACAGCACAGTTTTACCAGCTTCTATAAAACACAGGCTTTACCATCTAAAGCCATATGCTTTGCAGAGGTCTTCTTTGGACTTGCTTCAGAATGCAATTGGCATATTGCCAATTTGCCAGGCTATTTTTAAGACGGACAAGCAGCTTTTAGTTAGTTGGCTGAGACTCTTCGATGGGTTAGCTCGGTAAGAAAGGTCCTCATGGCCTTTGCACATTGATAGTTCGTTCTCATGACTTGTGGGAGAGCATCATTGACACTGGATTAGCAAGTACTGAGCAAACCATGATTCTGTAGGAAATTAGGAACTCAGGTCCTGCAAGGTTCTAGCCACAGTGTTTTCATAAACAGATCAGTACGTGCCCTTATTTTATGTGTATTTCTGGAAAGATACACTAATGTATATATATTTGTTGTTGATTGTTGACATTGAGCTTAGGGCTAGCAGGAGGCTAATTCATGTCTTGAGCAAACATGCATGTATTTTCTTCCCAAGGAACAGTAACAGAAAGATACTGGTGGTGGTGGTGGTGGTGGTGGTGGTGGTGGTGAGTATTTTAAATAGTGGGATTGCCAACCGGACGTCAAGAATGTGAAGTTTGTGGCATTAAATAGGTGGCTATGCCATAGTTTGGCTCTTAAGTATCCCAGAAAGGCTCATGTGCTAAAGGGTGAGGCCAAGGGTGAGGTTGTGGGGAGGTGGTACAACCTTCCAAGATGGGGCCTCTGTATCTCGGGTTCACACATAACAAGCTGGGAATGTTCTTGTCAGATGATTTGATCTTGACATCAAATATGCTCAAAGGACTGATTTTAGGTTAGAGATAAATTTAAGTGAGTAGAAAACTCTTCAGACATGGTATTCACATGTGATAAGGACTGACTGTGTATTTATTAACCTGATAGAGGCCTTACCAAATCCCAGCCCTGTACCAGGCATTTAGCCTATTAGTGAATATTTATTCCTACCTTCTGAGGTAGGCATTTCAAAGCAGATGAACTTTATTTTATTCTCTCCTTCCAACAACTCAGCTGTATGCAGTGGAGTAGATTTGTGCTAGATAATTTCCAGGCTAGCCTACTCCCAGAAAGGTGGAGAAATGGTTCTCTATGGGCCTGATGTTCTTAGGTAGTCGTGATATGGAATTATTTCTCCTACAAGTTTATAGTATATTGAGGTAGGTTGATTGTCATTTTAAAAATATTTAAGTAATGTGTATATATGTGCTGAATGATATGTGCCTGAATGCATGTATGTGTCACATGTGTGCAGTGCCTGGAGAGGCCAGAAGAGGGCGTTGGCCTCTGGAACTGGAGTTCCAGGCAATTGTGAGTTGCCCTACCTGGGTTCCAGGAACTGAACTCAAATCCTCCTCAAGAGCAGTAAGTGCTCTTAAACACTTAGCCATCGCTCTAGCCCACAGATAAAGTGATTTGGGAGGAAGAAGGAAAGCAAAGCACTTATAAACTTGCATCCCTTAGACTTTCTGTTGCTTTGACAAATAAATATCTGAGAAACAACTGAAGGGCGGAGGAGGCATTTATTTTTGGCTCGTGGGTTTAGACCATCCTGGTGCTGAGGGCAGGACAGAACAGAGTAAGTAGCCCACATCATGGTAGCCAGGAAGCAGTGGGGTAGGATGAGGATACACAGACATACAGAGAGATAGAGAGGAATACATAGGGTAAAATGTAGCCACAGGGGCATGCCCCTGTGACCCCCTTCCTCCAGCTAGGCTGGAGTCTCCTACAGTTTCACAACTACCAAGAACAATAATAGCTGGGGTGGGGGAAGGGGTGGGAGGCTTCAGGACATGAGTCTGAAGGAGCCATTTTATATTTAAATCATAACAAAAACCATCATTGACAGAGAGTGGTGGTGATCCGGGTGAGGATTATGAACCTTCACTGTGTAATGTTTGCTTGATAGTGTGACCACAGCAGAAGTAATTGCGTATTTTTAATTTCACTTGGTTTGGTGCTGTTTTTTTTTTTTTTTTAATACTGAAGTGTGAGTATTCAGGATAATTTACATGTGCCACATCAACGAAGGACATCAGATTGACATACCGTAAATTCAGACTGACATACAGTAATTTGTATAGCACCCCCTGTGTCTGGGAAATGTAGATAGTTTCTTTCCCCCATGTAATTTGTTCTCTTCCCTCACAGTTTAACGAGCTCTTTGAACTTGAGATGAAACTGGATGAGAACCCAGATAGAGTGAGAGTGACATTGAGTGAGAGTGACATTGAGTGAGAGTGACAT